CCATGGGAAGCAGATAAAAGAGCTTGAGATGAGACAGGAGGAGTGACTTGGACATACCCCCATTGACAGTGGCGTTCTCCCTGAGCAACTCACATAAATCCCTTAGCAACAGAACAATGGGGTTTAATCCTACAACTCTTCAATTATTTGGGGCTCCCTGGCCAGAGTCCACTGAGTGTATCTGTGCGACAGGGCGAAATGAAGCCAGACCATGACCGTCATGAGCTCCCTGGAATGGGTGACTGCAGTCACAGCACAGGCTTTTGTTTCTTCCTGAGGCCTTTCCCAAAGAGGCTGGAATTCTCTTTGTCTTCCAAAGAATCTAGAGGTAGTATTTTGTCAGGTAGGAATCTATAGGCCTGAACCGACAAGAAAAATAATAACTATCTACTTTTAGCCACCTGACAACCTTGAAAAAACAAAACCATGTGTGGACCAGGAAAATTTACCCTTGAGATTGTAGAATCCACTTTGCTGAAAACAAAATTTGAATCGAGCCATTCCTTCACTGACGTGGACATCACTCAGGACTAAGCAAGAATATTAGTTAGAGTAGGAGGCAAGTGATAGTAAGTATTAACACCTCCCAGTACAGCATAATGTAAATGAGGAAATGGAGCCATGAGCCCATTGTTGCTACTTTTGCTCTAAACAGTATTTTAACAAATAAACTCACTATGTTTCTATCCACTTAGCTGACTTCTCTAAGAATAAGGACAACCACCTGTTCCATGTACCAAGAATCTGAGCATCTAACACAACACCTGATATACAGTAGCTTGCTTCCTGATGCATGTTGAATAAACAAAATCAATAATTATTATCCCTCTTTGAATTCTAGATATGTAGATCCCCTAGAATACATTGTATATGTATTCTACATTGGAGATATGTAGATTTCTAATTAAAATCTACAACTCCATGGATAATTACATTTTGTCATTAAATGATATTCCTTCAAATGGGTAAATGACACCAAGGATGCTCCTTGGGAACACTCAGTTCGGGTGAGGAGATAAGAAACACTTGTCCAGTATAGAGCGATATGCCAAGGATATTACTTGGCCTTGGAGTTTGTTTTCGGTCCCCAGCACTCAGCAGAGAGAATCCTCTGTGGCCTTAAAGTCCGGTGATGGGAAATAGTCACCCAAAGCAGGTAAGATTGAAACAGTGCTGTGGGAAATAGGAAATATCACATATGGTTAAAATTAAGGAAAGGCAGACTGATAGATTTGGATCTTTGTAAAGTTTAATACCTAATATTAATTACAATACTTAATATTAATTACAACTGCTATGTAAACAGGGATACTTTTAACTTTATTCAACTCAATACTAAAGTGTTCATATTTGGAACTAAGTAAAATATAACTACATTTATTTTTCAATCCTGCAGTTTGGAATCAGATAGCAATGGGTTGAATGCATCTGCACTTTTCAAATGGAGTGACCTTATGCACAATACCTAACCTCGGAAATGCCAGAATGTCTGTCTGGTTGCTGTGAGGCAGAAGCTGAATAATGCAGGTGAAGCACTCGTATGCTGCTTGGCTTATGACAACTGGACAACAAATGGCAACGCTTTCTTCTTTCCTTTTCTGAGTGATCTCAGCCAAGCAGAAAGAAGAATTTATTAGAGGCAGCAAAATGTCAAACTCTTCTGATCTGTAAGTGGACCTAAGTTTAGCCAAATAGTGTCTACATTGTGTCAGTGTAGATAAGGCCCTCAAAGCTAGAATATACAAGCTTTAAATAGGTCAAATGGAATCAAAGTTGGAGAAAGAAAACCTCAGAGTGACTTCTGTGTAACATGAAAATCCAATGATCACTAAATAGCTTTGTGAGTAGGATGGGTGGGTGAGAAGGAGGGGGTCTCCTTGATCTCTCCTAATGGTACTATGCATCTGTTTCTCAGACCACAGATATTTTCTGTAAAAACAAGTTTCTTTTCTTCAGGAAATGACATCCAGAAAATTAAACTGCAGTAATCTCTAAGGGTCTTTTGATTGAATTCCCAGATAGCCTCCAGGAATCAAACATAGCTTCCTAAATACCAGAAACCACAGGAACTCCTATTATACAGGTAGCATCACAGACAAATAAGAAAAACACATTCTTTAAGCTCTCTTTAGAGTAACTCTCCAAAATGTTTACAATTTCAATAACTTATATGGGGCTTAATATCTAAGGTCTATAATAGCCTCTCTAGGTATTATACTCAAAGTAAATGGTATCAAGAAAGTTCTTAAGTATTCTCAAGTCAAGTTAGGCAAAAATCAGGTTCACCTGGGAGAACCATCTTTTTGAAAATTGCCTGATTTAGTCATAATCAAGTTTCCCTAGAAATTTTTGGAGTAAGGGTCCCATTCAGATTTCAAATGCATACTCACTTTCAGTTTTCACTTGACTTTGGAATCCTTACCCTTGAGCTATGGGCAATTAATCTCTCTCCAAAACCCTGAGAGGGTCTCTGTCTTTTTTGACATTATATTAATGGGAGGAACTACAGTTTATGACCCTCTATAAATTCATCCCTGGGCTTGGCATCAGGGGAGCTCATTGATGTCCAGTTCTGCTCCCCTTCATTTTTGGCTCCCCATCCTTGTCCACTGGAAGAGGTTGGATTCTCCACAGCAACTCAGAATTGCCCTGCTATAATTCCAATGTACTTGGAAGCAGTGCACCCACTCAATGCTTATTTAGGGGCTGAATTAGGCTGATGATCAAATCCAGGTGAAGGATTTGGGTAGGAATAAAGATGATGTTTCCTCAATTTGGCCTTAGGAGAGATAAGGCTGAGTGAAAACAAGAGAATCGAAAGATACACAGACACACACACACCGCGCCATGGTGAGTGTTGGCTCCAGGCTGTGAGTGGCAAATGGGGGCCTGGGATAAGGTCTGTCCTGATAGGGTCCCCTGTGACCACCCCTATGACATTAGCATTTTAGGGTAGTAGGTGAGAGTCCTCTGGTGGGCAATGAGCCCTCCTGGGAGTCAACCTGGGATCAGGACAGTATTAAGATGTCTAACTTCCCTTCTCAGAAGCACTTACATTATTTTTAAAACCCTAAGGATGCTATTGGTTGGAATTGGGGTGGGAGCAGGGGCTCGAGTATGAACAAGAAAAATACTAAAACCATAAGTCATTTGATTTCTTCCAATGTGGTTGAAGACTGAGAAGTTATGTTCCTTTTTCCAACCCCAAAACAAATTGCCTGTTTTCATGTTACTCAGCAGGTCACTGATGCCAAAGGAGACATGCTTGACTGTGACCATGAAGTGACCCCTTCAGAAGATGGTTTCCTTCTGTCCTCTATTGAATGTGCTCAGATATTAATCTCATGGATGATTCTAATAACTCAGATACCACAATCCTAGGTACAACTTCCTTTCACTTCTAGAAGAGACAAAAAACGATACATGACATAGACAGGCCACATTCTTCCAGCACTCATCAACAGAACCTACAAAGACACACACTCGCAGAGTCAACAGACTGGCCACCAAGGCCTTTATGTTCAGGATGAACAAAATAATGACTAAGCGTTTAGGCTGCAGACTCACTCTCTGGATTTGAAACTGGCTTTGCCCCTTATTAGCTGTATGACTTTGAAAAAGTAACCTGTTTGTACCCATTAATGATTCTTCCCTTTCACAAATTGCTGTAAAAATGATGAGTCCACTTGTGTACGTGCTCCCGGCACATGCTTGACTTTGGAATCCTTTGCAATCTCCATTGTTGGCTGCTGCTATTATTTATTCATTTCTAAAAAACCTTAGGGCATCTGTCTATGCCTCATAATATTTTGAACTCTGGCTCTGTCACCAGTCGTGTGCCCTGGGGCAAGTTATGCAACCTCCCCGAGTCTCAGTTTCTCTCCCTATAAATTGGGGTCAATAATAATTACTTTCAAAAGTTGTCGTGAGGATTAAGTATTAATGTTTTTAAAGTGCTTCACACATGTAAATACCTTAGTACATAGTTTTTATCATCTATAAACAACAGGGTAACAACTGCTACCTTGCCTCACAGATTGTTGTGAGAACGTACTTGAAAAAGCAGTGTAAAGCACTATATAAAAGTTACTTCGAACCTCTAGGCAATTGATTAGTATGGGTTGCAACAGTTCTGTAGTATCAGAGAGCTAAACACAGAAACGTGTAGTCCACTAGGCAATTATAAACAAATTGCTGCTCTTCCCATTAAAAATCCCCAGACTGGTCGGTGAAAACAAATCCACCTAAGTCTTGCTCAAGAATAGCACTTTTAAATTTACTAGAAACTGCTTTCCAAGTTATTAATTTTAAAGCCACCAATATAGAATGGTGATGAATAATTTAAGAATGTTACATTACAGTGAATAGATTTTGAGAGTCGTTACGGCTTTCATTTTAATTTAGTAAATACTGACACATTTGGTCCTGAGCATTGTGGTGCTTGAGTTTTCTGGATTTTGACCCAAAGGAGATGAGTTCAAAGCACTCCTGGGCTTGGGTATAAACACAAGAAGACTCCCCACCTCCTAGGCAAAAAGTCTGTCCTCCAAAGACATGTTTTACAACTGGCAAATGTAAGTGAGTCCTTTCTGAATTATTTTAAATAGAGTTCTCAGAATTTAAATTTTATCCTACTGAATTTGAGGAAAATATTTTTCCTCCCCTGCTATTGCAGTTCACCAAATTATGATCTCTATACTGGAAGTTAGCATACCTCTCCACAACTGAATGATCTAAAAATATACCCCTTTACTTGTTTTTGACTGCAACAAATACTAAATAGTTATGTCTGATGTAAACATGAGTAAAGCCAGATGCAGAAGTTTGTTTCTTCCAAGAAAGCTTTTTCCCTCCTAATCAGTTTTGATCCTCTCACTTTCATCTCTCCTCAATTAGACTGGGAACTTACTGTAGCCAGGAACGTGCTTTTGAATATTTAGGTTTTCCATCAAAAAGCTCACAGTCCAATAGCACCCTACACATAACCAGGGAGCAATAAATGGTTTTCGAGTAAATTTATTTAGTCTTTAAAACAATGTCTTTTGTAGTGAAATTTCAGCTGAAGACTTCTAATCAAGAGTTGTTTTGGTCTCCTGAATAAGACTGGAAGGTGTTTTCTTTCTTTCTGGCAGAATAAAATCTGCATGTCCTGGTGAAAGCTTAGGAAATGTATAATTGATGTATTTTTGAAATGCCATTCTTGTTTCTTGTAATTCCTCCTCCAGGAAATCTTTCCAATTTGTCATAATTCCCAGTTGTTTTGCTATGGACAGCAGTTCCCCCTGAGTGTTAACTAGTTTATCCATCACATTTCCAAGCACGACCTGATGAGTTTTCTCTGCTTCTTCAAGCACTCCCTGAACCTCTTCCTGCTTCTGCCTCTGAGCCATGGAGTAGTAGATGTTCATCTCATGTTCTTTTTCCTTTATCAATTGGCTCTTACTCTTCCTCCGACCCTTAGTCACTTCCATACCGGCATTCACAAGTTCCTCCACAGCCTTGCTACAAAGAATAACATGAGTTTGTAAGTGAGACAGATCAGCCACTGGAAACAAAAAAGCTTTGTCTTTCACCACAGATGTATGAGAATTTACTGCACTGTTCAGCTGAGCCACCAGCCTGAGACAGGCTGGCAGAGATGAGCTTTTGGATTGCATTAGCTGTTAACAATCAAAAACATTTTTCAGAGCAGGGAGATTGTCCATCAACTTCCCTGCTGTGGGCTAGGGAGAGGCCACTAGTCTAGTGTCTGTCAGTAACTTTAGGAACCTGAGTCCACCTTGGCCAGAAAAATATGAAGGTAGTATGCTTAAAAATGAAAAAAATAGAGTCAGAGTTCCGAACCTCTAGAGAAAGCATCTCTGTATATCGATCCAGCTACTTACCTTTAGCCAGAGGGGAAAAAACTGTACTCACAGGTTAGGTTTAGCTAGGTTAGTTAGTTAGGTTTAGGGCCTCTTAGCTCTCTTTCTCACTATTTTTGGGAGGCTGTTGAAATGGTGCTAGATCTATTGCACACAGGTTTAAAGAAAAATATCAGTAGCTGTTCCCCTCCCTTCTACCTACTGAGTGTTTCACTTTCCTCAATGTATGTTGCTCAGAATACACTTTTCAACCTCCTTTCTATGTCTACCAACTAAAATCCTGGATCTTAAGAGGAAGAACCAACACTTTATTTTTCCATAGGCAATTCCTAAATTATGAAGGGATCTGTTTCCAAAATTTATTTGTACATCAAGTGGTTAGAGCAATGTTGAACAGAGCAGATCGTTTGCCTGCTGAGCCGACAGTAAGCCATTAATCCATTTTCACTTGAACTACAGGACTGTTAGCACTATTTTAATCCATTATAATCATTGTATTTATAAGGCAAAAGCATTCTGACTTTCCACTTGAGACACTTGTCTGGCGGGAGGCTCAGCGACACCTCCGAGCTAGAGCTGCAGGCACTCTACAGGTGGGTGGCGGGCATTTGCAGAGGCCAACCTTTGGCAGCACATTTATATCTCAGAGTTATTAATATTCTCAACCTTCCTTTGGCTCTGCCTCATTTATACTACACACTCTCTCCCACTTCATGTGTTTGCTCATGCTGTTCTCACTTTTCAGTCTTTCACAAATGTGACCTCCTATCTTCTAAGGCCCAATCCAAGACTAACTCCCTCCAAGAAACCTACCTCACCACGCAGCCCGCACTCTCTTTGATTGATCTTTCCAGGATTTTGAACTCTCGCAGCACCTATGTGTTCCTTGTACGAGTCCGTCTAGCCCTGCTCAGATGGGGCAGCCATGCTTAAGTTACTTCACATAATGTTGAGAAAATACCCTTATTTCTTTGTGCCAGAGCTCAGGGCTGCATCCACAGAAGGCATTTCATAAGCTCTGGTAAAGTGAGCAGAGTAGCGTAATGGAAGGTCACAATCTTTGACCTTATAAACCAAGGTTCACACTGGACCCTGTCACTTCCTCTCCACATGACCTTTGGCAGGTTGCTTAGCCTTTCTAAGGCTCAGGGTCTTCACGTGAGGATTTGGAGGATGATAGAACCCAGCAAGAAAGGGCACGGGAATTCACTGAGAAGCATACAAAGGGCCTTGCATGTGCTGGGTGCCGAATAAAGGTAGCTGTCATTAGGAATTATAGCCATGACCACAAAAATTCCTGAGCAGTCACTTCATTCATGCCTTTGCCCTGGGCTAGAAAACACTTAGAACCTTTCCAAACAAAGATGTTTATTTCTTTTTCTAAAATTCTAAGGGTACAGAGTCTCCTAGATAATCTGTTTAGAACCTAATCATCTCAATCCACAAAAACATTTCCTGTGCATTTAACAATTTGTCACAATATGTAAGAGTTCTGAAGCCTTAATTCTCAAGTGAAAGTTCTACAGTGGGATTCTAAACAGTGGTCCTTCTCTATATTTTAGTTTCTGAAAATGTTCTAAAGAACACTGGAATCTAGCAATGTCTAGAAATAAGATCTGGTGTTTTGCAGACTGGGTTTAGCAGATTGGAACAAATTTGAACTTTTGTTTAATAAATATTTAAAGAATGCCTACTATGTGCCAGGGTCTCTTCCAGGCATTTGGAACACATCAATGAACAAAATGTACATTCTAGTTAAATAGACTCAAACAAAAGGCATGGATGGCAGTACCCTAATCTTAGTCAACTGATTCAACAGGAGGAGGTCATTGAAATTTTCATTCAAACCTCACAGAGGAAAGGGCTGAAGTGGGGTGAAAGCAATGGAGTGGGGGAAGGAGCAGAAGCTGCAGGTCTGTAAGGAGTGGGACCCAAAGGCTCCTACAGGGGAGGCAGAGTTCCTGCAGACGGAAGGTGGGGAAGGGCAGGGTGAAGGCACTGCCTTCCACTGCATTGGACCACACTCGTTTTGGAGTTACCACCTTCTCTAACTTTCTCTCAAAATCTCCTTTCACCTTCTTCTTCTATTTCCACAATGATTACCTATGCAAGAAAGGAGGTCCCACTGAAAAGGCCACAGCTGCAACCCTCATTCTTATTTATCTGCAAAAAAAGAATCCTATAGGATTTTACCTTTGGCCTTCTTCTAAACAGTTCTAATGAGGAAGATTTTATCTGTTCATTATATACAAGTAGATGTATTTGTTAATCAAGGAGCAAAGTAAAAGAGATAAGTCCTAGACTAGTAGGCCAAACACAAGAGGTTTTATTCTTGTTCTGCTGCTACAGTTAAGTGATCTTGGGTAGGTCACTTAACATGTGGAAATTGTAGTTTTCTCTTGGTGCTGATAATCACTAGGGATCCTGACTGCTGTCTTGTTAAAATTAGCCAATTCTATCAAATGTTCATTACATACATAAAAATGGTTACTTTGGTATTCTTAAATATATATATGATTTATGTAAAAATTATTTGTGATTGCGCACATATATAAGGTTGCACGTATATCGAAGGGCATGGAAAGATGCAGACCCTATTATTTAAAATGACTGTCACTGGCAGATGGTGGAGGGGGGTGGTTAGGGAAGCCGTGGGTCAAGACTAGCAAATTTTGCTTTATATATTTTCATAATGTCAATTTCATTTACAACACATGTTACTTGTGTGATAAGAAAAAAGACCAGAAAGTAACACATCCACAATAATGTATGATATAGGCTAAAGAACACGAAGATTGACTTTTATGTGTTTGTGAAGAAATAGTTCTCGATTCCTCCCCTCACCCTCTTAAAACTGGAGATACAGAATGAAAAACAATATTTAGGACCGTAGTTATCTCTTGAGAGGAAAGAGAGGAAGGAAACATGATTGAGGAAGAACATATGGCTGTTTTAGAAGTGTTACCAATTTTCAGTCCCTTTAGATGGGTGGTAGGTCCTTGAGTACTCATGCTATTGTTTTTCTTTAAATCGCCCCCCCACTCTATAATATATTATATACTGTTCTCTATATTTGATATATTCCATAATAAGAATGTAAAAACACAAAAACTTGGAAATACCACCTATGTGCCTCAACCTTATCCTTTCTCCAAGTCGATCTTGAAAGAGTAAGACTGCTGATTTGCAAACGCGTTCTCTGGAATACCTTTTCTGGGCCTGAATTGCTTCTTGGGCTATGCGTCTCTCTTCAGCCCTGGCTTTCTCCACAGCCTGGATCTTCTCCTTGTGGCACTCTATCATGATCCTCTGGATCCTATGGACCATGCGTTGCTCCGCAGCCAAGTTTTCTCTCCTTAGTTCGTCTTCCATGTCTTGATGTATCTCTAGCTTGGTTTTAGCTGTCATTTCCTTAAGCAACAGTAAAACTAGGTTTAGATGTTACAGCTTTGATGTTTAAAAATGCACACTAAGAGGTTATTCAAATCATAGTTCATCAACCTGATGAAATGTGTACCTGTGAACACTGATGGTTTAAAAAAATAGTGGGTATAATATGGAAAATTTTCATTTATACAATGCAAAGTAAAACCAGAAACATGCAAACAATATAGCATAAATATTTATGTAGATAACTTTAGAAGGGAATATGCAGAAAGAGAAAACAGCTGAATTACAGGTATTTCTCCCTTGATTGTCCAAATATTCTGTCATACTATCTTTATACATTACAAATACATACTACGGTTCTACTTTCAGAAGTAAATCCCGGGAAATGGCAGAAATAGAGACTATGCCTCCTGAATGTCTCCTAGGTAACCTAAAGCTTAGGCAGCAACGGTCACACATTTCTGCAGTCACAGGAACCTGCCTGCCAGTCCCCATTGTCATTCGAGCATTGCAGTTCATTGGGGTTGAGGGGCCCTTTCTTATTCACCAAGAAGAAAGGAACAAGTGTTCCACTGCTCCTGGGCAGAAGGATATGTGGATGCCCTTGGTCAAGTAAAGAGAGGAGGCACTAGTCAAATTAGGACTCCAGGAACACAGACCCTCTTACAGAAAACCCTGCCACCATTTCGGAAATGCCTACTAAATCCTCAGTGTGCCGGGCACTCTGGTGAGCCCAGATACTACAACCACAAGAAGGCTGGCATCCTCACTGTCCAGGCAGGGGACCAATGAACGACTTAACCAGACAAGGAGTGTTTTCGTAGAAATACATGCAAGAAAGAAGTAGCAGTGAATTCTGTCTAGGAGTTTCAAAACTTTCACCTAAAGGTAATTTTTCTTTATTTTAGGTATAATGAGAGAACATAAAGAAATTATTTTACATAGTGAGTCAGTGGAAGAACTAGGAATAGAAACCAGGATTCTCGATGCTAATTTCTCATTTCACTGCTGTCTCTGATGCTAGGGTTTAAGAGATTAATTTATCCTCCTTCCAGAAATCCTGTAGTCTTATAAAATAGTAGAGTGAGCTCTCTAAGTTTCAAAGAAACTGAAATCACTTTAGCTTTTTAGAAAATAATGTTCCAACAATTAAAATATTTATTAAACAGACCTGCTTTTTTAAAAGAAAGTTTTCAACTTCTTACTTTTGCTACTCCAAGGGTGAAAGATTTTTTTTTAAACATTTTATTTATTTGTTTAACATTTTATTTATTTTCCCCCTCCCCCTCGCCTGATTTTTTAAAAAATTAAAAATACAGCAGAAATCAACTTCAAAAATCTCTTCAGAGTGGTCCCAGTTCATACAGTTAGAAGAAAATCATTTTTAGGAAAATAGCAGCTGTTTAGATATGCTAGCTGGGTTTTCCATATTGAAAGCTTTGCCTCTTAAGGCACTAGAACTTTCTGATTTAAAAAAAAAAAAAAATTTTTTTTGAATGGAAATATTTCTAAATGTCTTTAACATTTACCTTACTTCATAAAAAGAATATAGTGAACACACTTTAACATTTCTTGATGATCAGACTAGTAGATAAAGATGAACAATTGCACTGGGCTAAATACTTCATACTGCACTTAATAATTGTTCAGGTTCATGAGGCTATTTGTCTCTGCTATCTATGACCCCAGGCTGCTTTGCTTTTTGAGATCTGATATGGTTTTAAAATTTTTCTTGTTCTTCACATGCCATTGGCCTGAGGACTCCCTATTCTGTTGTCAGTGAGCTCCTTTTTGTTATTTCTACTTCCCAGCATTTAATCTATTTTGGATTTGTAAAACCACACTTGTTTGGTTCAGGGTGTCAAATAAGTGTAAATAAGATTTGAGTGGAGAACAGGGAGGTTCTGCTATATGTAATAACCTGAGTCTCTATCTTGTAGCCAGAGGCCTTTATTTAACTTCATAGGGGATATTTTAAATTATTTCTGGGTTTTCCAATATATTTTCAGTAATTGAGATTGCTGAGTGGTTGAGCCTTAGATAGATGAGATAATATCATAATACATTTCTACTTGAATCATAGAATTTTAAAATGACATTCTAGCCCTTTATTTTGGCTGGGTTCTGAATTAGGATTCAGAGAATTAAACTCAGCCCCTCTTTTATGTAATGGTTTAGTAAAACCAAAATCATTTCACTGTCTCACATATCATGTGGAATACATATTTAAAGCTACAAAAATAATTCAATGACTTATTGTTTGGCAGTATTCTTACTCAATGGAAAAGTCTTCTGTTTATTTTTACTAAAATGCATTTTGAGTGAGTCAGCCCACATTGTGAGATATAAGAAATGGCCTTGCAAAACCCACCAAATTTACTGTACAGTTTGACAGACACTTATAATACAACATCTCCTTCAGAAGTTTCTCTCAGGTATCACAGGTAGGAATCTGGGCCTGAGTACATGACTTTTTACCTTATGGATGTGGCGATTCATAGCATTTTCCTCTTTGTACTGACTACCAGAAAGCTCAAGGCCCAATTAGTGATAATTGCACAGGACCTCATGGCATACATACATTTTTAAGTTTTAAATTCACCCAACTTCATTATAATATCTTCTCTAATTCTTCTTTTACTTTCCATTAGCTCCCATTCTCATTTACTTTCTAATGTTATTGTATTTAATAAGAGAATATATAAAAACACCTTTTCAAAATACTACCTCCACTGGATAATACCTTGAAATTTTATTTAACATCGAGCATGAGATTTATCCCAAATCCTTAGCGTATTAGAGCAATGCCTGGTAGTTCCTACAGAAAAGAATTTAATGGTATTTAATTAGAACGTGGTTTTCTGCTCTATTTATTGGTAATCTCAAATTTTAATATGTGTGAGAATCACAAAGGCTGCTGATTCAAAACATGGCCAGTGTCTTTGTAGGTCAGGTGGGGCCTAGGAATCTGCATGTTATGCTCCCAGGTGAGAAGATTCTAAGACAGTGGTTCATGGACACCCCCTTAGAAACAGTAATGATGCCTATAAAGATTAAAATAACCCTAGGCATCCCACTTAAGACAAAGCACTCCTTCCTTATATAAAGAAGTCCCTGAGACAGCAGTGTAAATGTAAATTCCCAAACCTTAGACAAATACTTTAGCAAGGTGGACCTCTCTCTATAACTTTTTCCTTTTAAATTTTCTTAGGACTTCTATTTTAGTATTAAGTGCATCAACTGTACCAGAAGGCTATATGGGGTACAATCAAATTACTTAAGGAAGGACTAAGAGGTAAGCTCCTTGAAACAGGTATCACATTTAATTATCTTTGTATCTTCACAACCTAATGCCAGGAGTGATACTCAAAATGTGTATCCTCTGGCTGCAGCATTGGGGCAGGGGCCTAGAGCCCCCTACCAAATTTAAAGTGCTTCCTTTTTAAATTGCTGGTTTAGGGAAGGCCCAGGGGCCTGGTGTGGTATAACCAGGGTGATCAAGGTATTAGGGGGCTTGGGGAGTGATTATCAACTGATAGAGAAGTATTTCAAAGCTTTAAGAACCAATATGGCCATACTGGTACAATTCAGCTGAACGGCAGGCCTGCCCAGACATGCTATAAATGCTTTTCACATTTTGAACTGAACTAGGGGATAGGCAGTGAACCACCCCAGCCAACCCTTCAGAGACCCTGCCACTGGAGCCAAGCAAGGAGGGTCCCAGTACTCCTTAGGAACAGTGGAATGTAACTCCCTCTTCCGCCAGCAAGTTTTCTGAGGACAAAGACACTCCATTTAATCTCACCTAGTACAGATCTGATATATGGTAATTGTTCACTGCTGAGGCAATGAATAAATGGGCCCATTATCCCAAGCTGTTTATTAGTTATGTTCTTATTAAATTAGGCCAAACTTGGGGCCAGACTTCTGCCACTTCCCCTCCAGCCTCTGCCCATGAATCATCACATCTGCATTGTGTCCTGTCCTGTACCTCTGGTGGCCAACTTGTGAAAATAGTCCTCTGTCCTTTTCCTTTGAGCAGATTTTGTAGCCGAGGTACTGAACTAAATAATGAGTCCCTGGGCCTCTGCATGGAACATTTGCTAATTACCTAAAGTCCTGTGCTTGAACAAGTTACAGTTTAGCAAGAACTCCTCTCTCATTTTACGACCTCTGGTCTTGTGAGACATACTTGAGAAACGACTCAGGGGTCCCTTTTAGCACTGTAGCAAATGCAAATTTAGGTAAAAGGATGCAATCAGAGAGCCCAGATGAAAGAAAACAGCCTATTTCTTCATTTAACTCCCATTTGAGCACTTATCGAGTCAAGGCCCTGTGCCGAGAGTGGTAATAAAACAGGCATGCCCTTATGGAGGCTGCAGTCATGTGGGCATCAGATACTCAACAAGAGATCACAGTCTGTTTAATTATAACAGTGATGTGTGGTGACTGCTGTGAAAGAGGACATGGTGTCAAGGACAGTGTATGAGTGGCACTGCAGAGCTGGTTAGGTACAGCTTCCCTTAGTGTAGTGATGTTTGAGCTAAATCTGATGAAGTGCAGGATGAACGTTCTGGCAGACACCAAGGTGGGAAGGCGTATGGTGCATTCAGGTCCAAGGAGCCAAAGAAGAGCAGTGAGAGGAGGAAAGAGAGCAAGTGGCAAGAGATATGGTGGGTCAGGCAGGCAGGGGTGGTTTCTTCAGGCCTTGAAACCCCAAAAAGGTTGGGGTTCACTACGTGAAAGGCCACAGGATTCTCCTGCACCCATTCATCACTGCTGCCATTGAGTGTTCAGCATCTCTTCTGTGACAATCCTGGGCCTCCCAACCAACCTCCACAAACACTCATCTAGATTTTACACAGTTGTTTTTTCTCTTATTCCCTTGAGCTTTTTACTAAAGTACTTTTAAAAAGACAGCAAACAAGCCACTATAAAAACCTGTAAGTGTTTTTGATGTTGCTCTTCCAGAATCTGAATTTTAATTTTGTATTCGTCATTTGCTTCTTCAAGTGCTTTCTCCACTGCTTGTTTTTGGCGTTTATCAGCCTTTGAAAGAAAGAGTCCATTTATTTATTAACATGTTTACTGAAAATTAGCAAACACCCTGGGGCTCCTAATTACTTGCTCCATTCCCATCTCAAACTTCCCATAGCAAACCAGCTGCCTCAGCCAGATGCCCTAACACATCCTAACCCTTGGCTAGCATCTTGTTTCAGGAATTGCTAAAGAGCTTTAGTGTAGGCTGCTTGGTTTTCTTTGCTACTTTATTTTTCGATCGACTATCAAAGTAATGTGCACTTATCACAGAAAATCTGGAAAAGTGGAAAGATGCTCATCACAGAAAAGCAGAGAGGTGGAAAGATGTACAAAGAGAGAAATTATTGAGAAGGGAGGCTGAGTACTAGCCTAAATCTCCTGCATCAGGTCTTGAGAAAGTTTATTTGAAAAGAATGCTGAGAACATTAGATTATTTATATTCAAACTGTAGATTACTCACAAAAGCATTCCCTTATATTAGGGTATATAATTAATGATTCGGAATCGATTTAAATTTTATTATTATTAAGATAGATGACTACTAATATTTATTTTACCCTTTGTAATGACTTTCAAAGAATCTTCATACCAAGATTTTGCAGTTGCTAATACTGGACAATTCCAACACTCTTTGCTTGTCATGCTCTCAAGGAAGATTAATTCTCTTTAGGAAATCGTTTATGTCATTCTATGACTGGAAGAAGTGGGGGTTGGAGGAGGGAGATTTTGCTTCAGTTAAGTGTCTGGGATCTATGAGCCCCAATACATTCGAATGGTGCCTAAAACCCTCAGTGGTCATATGGACATGGTATCAAGGACTTTAGAGAGAAGGGGAGCACAGAGACAGGTAATAAGGATAGTAGCTATAATGAAGCACTTGGAAAAAACAGGCACTTAGGCGTGTTACACACTGCACAAATGAATGGTCTACACATTAGATATTAAGCAATAATAAAGTTATCAACAAGGACGTCTTCTTTTAAGTTTTAACCCAATGAGAATCAAGAAAGTAGAATTCATCCACATGTAGGGGTAACTTAGAAGGAAGCTCCTGATGATGACTGCCTCTTTCTAACTACCTACTGTGTGCCAGACATACTATTTCACTGAACTCTCTCAACCATCCTATAGAGTGGGTATTATGGTTCCTCTTTCACATTTGAAGGAGCCAAGACTACATAGCCAAAGAATTTGCCCAAGGTCCCACAGGTACCCAGGATTCAAAATCAATTTTGCCTGACTATATTGCTTCAAACAAATCCCAAAAGTGAAAAAACTGTAAAGATGCATTTAGGTTGATTTCCACTTTCTTTTACCTGAGCCCACACTTTAGCTTCTGCTTTGGCAATTCGTTCTTTGAGTAGAGCCTCTTGAAATTCCTCTTCATTATTCAGAATATTTGCCCCGATGTCTATGTATTTGAAGAGAAACAATCACAAGCATCCACAGACTGTTTCTTGGCTTCCCTTTTCACTATGATCTAGTTATTCATTAGAGTTATCTAAGAGATATATATCCTTTTAGGAGATATCAATCTTTTCTTTAAAGATACCAATAAAATTGATAATTTACTAATTGATTAGGAAGGAACACAGAGTATTGTTAAGCCTTGATAGAATCTATTCCTTTCACCGCAACCACTCCTCATAGTGGGCAACTGGAGAAAGTTAAGTAGCAGAAAGGAACACATTTTGTACCTCCAAAGTAGAAGGGTGAGTGAATATTCAAGACATTAGCACATCATCCAGCATCCTTCTCCCTGCTCCGATCTGGATGCTGATATTCTCTCCACCAACAAAGTGGTAGTAGAATGCCTTCTTTAACAGGTTTACATGCCTTTTGCATACTGCAATGTATCGCTCATGGGGCCTAGCTTGGTAATAAGCACAGATAAGACATTGGGCACACATGTGTTTGTCTGCCCGACTTCTCTCCCTCTGGTAACAGGACCCATTTCTCTCAAGAACTTTCCTCACTTCAGGTTGTTCTGGTAAAACTGCCAATCACAGCAGCCTATCCACTTGACCCATCACATTATCCCTATCCTTCAGGCCCCAATAATTGGCTCAGAATTAGGCACATGCTCAAGCCCAGCCAACCAGGCTTTTCTCTAGGACTTTATATTAGATTGTAAGAACATAGCTTTTTTGCCTCTGAGGTTTCTAAACTAGAGGAAATAGAGGTTTAGAGCTGTTTGAAACCATTTCTACTCCTTTCCCAGCTGCTAGAGAATGCCGGGCTGCAGTAGTAAACAATTAGGCCAACTCACTAAGAGAGCAAGAGTGGACAGACTGCAAGCCCTGATTACAGATTCCCTGTGGGTTTCTCTAGTCTGAGTTGTGTTTGTCACCTGCAACTGAAAACACATGTTTGGTGACATTGATTTAAGAGTCTTCACTACTAGATTACCAGAGTCTAAGAACAAAGCGCAGTGAATACTATGGCAGAGATGGACATACACTGCACAGGCTCAGTGTTCACTATGAAATACCTGGAGAGAAATGTGACTAAGCATGGACCATCAATGTGTTGGACGTCACAAAATGTGATGCAAGTATGGGCTGCTATTACTCTTTTTTATGCTTAAATCCCATTATTTTAGTTGTTCTAAACCCTGATTGTACAACAGGATCCCTGCATAGCTTTTTAAAAATACACAGGCTGAAAGAAAAAGAATTATTAATACAAAAAACTTGGATTGAGCTCAAGGGCATTATGCTGAGTGAAAATGCCCATTTCAGAGAGTTTTACAGTGTACGATTCCGTTTGTATAATAGTCTCAAAGGGATAATATTATAGTGATGGTAGAACAGATTAGTGGTGGCCAGGGGTTTTGATTAGGGGTTGTTAAGAGGTAACACGAGGGAGTTTCTTTGTGGTGATGGGACAATTTTATGTCCTGATTATGGTGATAGTTACCTGATACATTTCATAAAACTATACACCAAGGGGGAAAAAAGTGCATGTAAAGTCTGTAGGTTTTGACAATACACTAGTGTTTGTGTAAGATATCAGTTAAGAGAAGCTGGCTGAGGGGTACACGGGTCTCTATTTTTAAAACTTGAGAGTCAACCTATTTCCAAATAAAAAGCTATTAAAATATGTAAAAATATAAAAAAATAAAAACGCATGCTGAGGCCTGATTCTGAAGGTTCTAGTTTAGTGGGTCTGTGTTGGATTAGTAGTCCGTGTTTGGATATTAGTAGTAAAACAAATTATTTAAAAGTTCTATATGACGCTGCTAAGGTTAAGAACTAGTACTCTATACAATACTCATTAGCATTTACATAGACATTTATTTTAACATGCCTTTGAATTTACCTATAAAGAATTTTGACTCTTTTAAAATAATCAATGAAAACTATAGATCATTGAATATAAAAGACTAATTTCTAACTAGATTTAATTTATCCACTTAACGTTTGGATTCAGATATCCTGGAAGGTATAAGGAATCAATCAATAAAAGCTTCTCTAAAAATGAATATCCACTGTCCTGGGTGTAAAAAGTTAAACTGTTTTAGAGATTATAATTAAAAATTAATACTAAACATCTACTAAAAGTTAAAATCAGTTTTGGTATTGATATTTTTAGAGGATAATTCCAATTTGATCTTCCACTACACTTTTTTTTAAAATATTTTTTTTCAAAACACTCTCCATTCTCTAGCGTTTACATTTTCATCACTAGTTTATCATATTAATGGAAGAGAGGATCATGGAAGTTATTTTGAGAGTCCTTAGGAAAACACTTCTAAGGCTCAAAGTCAGACTGATGGGGATAAGGAGAGAAGGAAACCTGTAATTACAATTTCTTTTGCTTATTATAAGTGTATAGGTAGTAAATATTCTTGTGCTATCTGTATGTATCTACTTGTATGTCACCAGCTACTAATAAAGGTTATACTTTCTTTCCCCATTAAGATGTTAATCAGAGGTATTTTCTCTCTTGTGTATGGAAGGTGCCCAAGTGTGGGCAAGGACAAGAAGAACTAACATTTACTATTATGTTCCAGGCTTTATAACAGGCACAAATATTTCTTTAAAGCCTCATAACAAACCTGCAAGATATGTATTAATATCTCTATTTACATATAAGGTAACAGACTGAGAGGCTAAGTATCCTGTCAGAGGCACATAACTAGTAAGTGGAGAAGCTGGATTTCAACCCATGTTCTTCTCATGACAAGACACCCCTGTAGGACAAGCAACTTTGATCAGGAAAGCTGATAAAAGTCTATATAATAGGAAGAATGACATACAATGCTATGAAACATTAGAACAAAAGAAAAGAGCAAAGTCACTTACCCAGTATATCTTTGTGAGTGTAAAAGCGTGTCTTAAATGGCTTGTATTCATGGATCCGTTTGAACGTTTCCCCTAGAGGGGCTGGTGGAATTATTTTATTACAAACAGCACAGCAAACGAAGTTTGTGTAATTCGGATTTCTGATCATAATTGAATTTAAGATGCCTTTTACTATGTACAGTTAAAATACTCTTTGGATGAGAAAAAGTAGTTTTAAGAAAAGCTAAAAGTTTAAGAAAGATGGAAGAGAGAGGTTCAAGGTTTTAGGACAATGCTAGAGGCTAGTAAGGATTAAATGATTCCACATGATTAGGTAGTGATTATGTGCCTAATGTTAAAGACCATTACTCAAAGCCCCTGCCATGTAAGGCATGGGCACTAGATTTGGGAATATTTAAGCAGTTGCTCCCTCCTAGACTCCAGCATTAAATTGTTAACTTAGCAACTGTTGCTAGGTAAGACAAGCTTTGCTCATAAAAGCAACTAGAAATAATGACAAAAGGGAGTATGGCCCAGCAGTTCATTTCCCAGCTACTTTCTGTATTAGTTTCCTATTGCTGCTGTACCAAATTATCACATATTTAGTGGCTTAAAACAACACAAATTTATTCTCTTGCAGTTCTGGAGGTCAGAAGTCCAAAATGAGTCTCATGTGGGTAAGGTATCAGCAGGGCTAGCTCCTTCTGGAGGCTCTAGGGGAGAATCCGTTTCCTTGCCTTTTCCAGCCTCTATAGGCCATCCACACATCCCCTAGCTCATGATCTCACATCATAGAGCCTTTTCTCTACCTGCTTACGTGGTGATATCGCTTCTTCCTCTATCTTCTGCCTCCCTCTTATGAGGACCTTTGTGATTATATCAGGCCCGTCCAGATAATAAAGGACAATTTCCCCATCTCAAAATCCTTAATCACAGCTACAATGTTCCTTTTTTATATAAGGTACCATATGCACAAGTTCCAGGAGTTAGAATCAAAACATCTTTGGAGGTGAGGTGGAGAATGGGAACATTATTCAGCCTACCACACTTGCTTTTAAATGGTTTATTTAAAGAATTGATTTCTTTTACAGCAGCAAAGGAGGGAGTTTAATTTTTTCCAAGTTAACTGATAAATGTGGTTTTGGTGCAATGGCAGTAACATAGAAAAATATCACAGTATTTTAAAGGAAAAATTACTTTAAGTCAGCACTCAAAATTATTAAGCCTGGTTTTTAAAAATTACATAGTTAACTAATTTGTTGTTCTTGTTTTAAAATGGGAAGTCCTGCATCCTAAGAACCCCCTTGGTGTTTGACAAACTGCGACAGGTTGGTCATTCTATCTATAAACCAATAAATAATTACACTGCTTGCTTCAGAAAATTCTTGAAAATCAGTTTATCAACTGAATAGCTTACTCCTCTGGGCAGATAATTCCCTGGGCAAAAAGGTCACTTGCTGTTTATGAACAGTCTACTTATCAAGACTTGCTTCAAGACCTAATCTATATTATGTTACTGAGCTTTGCCCAATCTCAGCCAGATTCCTGCATTAAAAGACCTTCCTTTAAGTACCTGAATGCATACTCCAAAATGTTGTCAACATCTTGCCCTGAAGATGCCCTTTTTAGACACAAATGACTTTGTCAAAGTGGCATTTTTCTCATTCTCATACAGAATGAATGAAAACATCAACATGACCAGCTAGGCGGTTTTGGACACTCTACACACATAAAGACTATGCAATTGTGCTATCTGTAACTTGTACCCATCCTATAAAAGTATCATAGTTAGGTAGTTGTTCCTAAAATTCAATGTAATTCTTCTCTCACACTATTTTTCACAGCGATGTACCTCACTGAATCTACTGCTACCGTGGTTCTTTTGGATGTCACATGGCTTATGGCTGTATTCTGTATAATTCCTGCTTCCCTTCTGTGCAGAGAAAATCTCTTGATAGTTCACCTAACTAATACCTCCCCCTCCAAATATCAACTTATTTTGTTGAATATTAGAATTCTAAAAGATGACAATGTGACATTAAGCGCATAAATTAAAAACAGAAGAATTCTAGTTCTTTAACAATCAAAGTCCGCAGGGAAACCAAAGCAAAAGAGAATACTTTCAATTAAAAGGCAGTTTGTACTACCTAAGCACATTCTAAACTACACAGACAGGGCAAAAAAATAAAAAAAAAAATAAAAAAAAAAAAATTAGGGCTCAGTAGTAAAGATTTAATTTAGTTGCATGTAGATAACTCAAGTAGCTAAGTTCTTTAATATCTACAAATCAGATATAATTGCATTTTCATATATCTTGCAAAGCTACAAAAAGTACTGGAAATTAAAAACTTACATTATAATGACAAACTCTGCCTGTATAGTAGTTATTATTACTTGGTGATAATAAATGGAGCAAAATTTCAGAGATGAGATTACTGAGCCCCAATTACAATGATTTGGAGAATGGGGTAAATATTTAGAAATGAAAGAGGTCCAGAACCTTTGTCAGAAAGAGTTAAATTGTATACGGTAAACCCAGGACAGTAAGGAGACTTTCTTATCTATTAAGTAGTTCTAGTTTTTAAATAACAATAAGAATATTTGGTCTTATGTTTACATCATCAAAACATTAATTTACAAAAACTAAAATAGATAACAGTTGTAGTCAAATAAAAACATCATACCTCAGCATAACATACTTCTTTTTTTTTTTTTTTAAACTCCAATTACTTTGGGTTAGTCTCTCATTTAATCTTCATTTTAGTAGTTGAATGGGAGTATCTTTTCAATTAAAATAAAATTCTGGACCAAAAATAGCTGAAATAGAAAACCAAAATATATGAACCATCTGTGACTCTGTAAAACTATTTGTCTTTAACGATGACTGCAGGCTTTACGATAATTGACAATTATTTCTTTTTCTTCACAAATATAGGTTCTATGCCAGGTAGAAAATAAAGATTGCTTTTGCAAAGAGCGAGACAAAACTAAACTCTCATAACAGTTGCAAATGCACAATTCACCTTAAAATATTAAAAATACCAAAAATACCATGCAAATTTAACAACTCTGAGTACTTTTATTATATAGACCTTTATAATGTAAAAAAAAATGACTTCCATTCTCATGGTACTTTTATAAGAGGATTTAATAAGTTTATTGAGAAGTTTTCTGTGGAAAAAGAATGAGATAATGGCTGCAGCTTTGAAAGGACAAAATCTACTATACTGGTATGGTTATAACTGCTATCTTCTTTCCTTACTACCATATTCTAAAACAAGAAACATGATATTGTGCATTCATAAAGTCTATCATTTGGCGCTTTCGGAGCCCTTGATATAGCTCCATCCGTGGTAACCAGCACTATTAATCCCATTTAGATGTCTTCCTCCTCATATAACTGTGTCCCTCACTATCGATAGCTTCATAAAGGTCCTTTTTATTCTCTTGTGTTGCATGTAGATAACCAATATAAGCCACGCAAAGTGAAAGGCTTATCAATCCAAAAGCCATTACAGGTTTGTTCTGTCAAAGAAAAAAAAATTACAAAGCCTCGTTAAGACTAATAATTTGAGGAGATCCAAATCCCTGTTGCTCTTTCCTCTTGACAAGCCAACTCTTTATTACCACACTAGCATTCCTATGGAAATATTTTCTATGATAATAGTTTACCTAGTTCTAATTCAATTAACTCAACTCCTGAGCATGCAGAGGTTACAGAAGACTCTTTCTTCTCTTCTCCAGTCTTCCTTCTGTCTGCAGCCTGGCCATCGCAGACCTCCACCTTCAGGAAGGTGATGGCTGGGAAAGGGGCAGAGGCGACAAGAGGCATGGAAACTGGGCCAGTGCTCAGAGGTTTCAGTGTTAACTGTCTGGCATGGAGGTGTTATTTAACTTTTTCAAATTAGTTAATTTTATTAGGAAGTGAGGAATGAAGGACACATGCGATTCTTGCCTGAGTTCATGGACAACTGGCAAAAAGCCTTTTATGTCATACGTTAGGTATAGCAAAAATGACAATGTACACACTTCTCTGGGAATCTACTCTCTTGGCTCAAGACATTTAGTAATTGGAACAGATATTATGCTGTTATAATAACCTTGATTTACTGCTGGAAAATTCAAGACCCTAAGAGGCAAAGCAATGTGCCTCTGAATTAAAAAAAAAAAAAAGTTCTTAAATATAGGAAAGCTATTTACAACCCCACAGAAGTGTTTTTTATTACTGTAACTCAGACCCTCCTTTCTGCATGTTCACACTCAACAAATGGGCCTTTCTTAGGTCAGTATGAATGAAGAGTTGCAATATGAATTTCAATTTTATTTCTTTGTTTCTGTCACCATACACGCTGTATTACTACTATCTCAAATCTTTTGTCAAAAGAATAAAGATCAAACTTTTTCACTTGCTCTAAGGCAACAAACTCAGAACAATTTAAATTTGCAATTCTTAAAATGCATTTGGCAGTTAAAACACATGGTTCAAAGTTTTTAAAACATTCAACCTTGATTTAATGATTTGATTGTTAAATTGACCTAATACTTAACTGTGAAACAATTTTCACTGGCAACCGTGTTACTAAAATTCTAGTCAAATTCAATACTTTTAAATATATTTTATAATAATTTGATTTCATTTACATACATTTAAAAATAAAATTTGTACCTATTTAAAAGTAAAATTTATCAAATCAAATATATTCAATAAATGATTAGCTAACTGCCTAACAGTACACAAAGGTACATTTTGAAAATTTTCACAAAATGTTTGCAATATCCCTTAGGTAAAAACATTATTAATAAAGGCTGGAACTGTAGTCTATAATGATGATCAGATTTTCATTTTGTTTTCTTTGTTTCAATAGGTCTAATTTACTTAATGGTACCTGATCAAACAATAAATGTCCTTCAAATTAATACAACTATTAAATATTTAAATAGGAATTTGAGAAGTTGATCCATTAAAGTGTAACCATTTTCTATTAAAATTCTCAAATGCCCTCAAAAATAATGTTTTATATGCGTATTTAGTGAAACATCAGTTAAGGTTTTCCTTCCACCCGCATTTATTCACAGAGAGATCTGAATAGGCAACATAAAATGTCCATGATAAAATCAAATGTCACAGGAAATTAAGAATTTTCTATTTGATAGCCTAAATTAAACATAAAGTCTTATCCTGGGTATATTTCTTACAGGTTTAATGAAGAGTTCTGGATTCACAGCTCGAAATAAGGTTGTTGTGCGGACTCCTCTGAGCCCTGGGTTTCCAAAGTCTTTCTCTTTGGGTGGTTCCTTCTTAAAAGCTTGAGGCTCAGGTGCTGAAGACATCTTGATTAATAATGACTTATTACCTAAAAATAAAATAAGAGACTTTTCCTTTGTGATTTTAATAATGCTCTTTAAAAAATCATTCTATACTCATTTTTTTTTCGCCTACAGCACCTGGTCTTCCTAGGTGGTGCCTCATCCAAGTACTAACCAGGCCCGACCCTGCTTAGCTTCCGAGATCAGACGAGATTGGGCACTTTAGGGTGGCATGGCCATTGTATACTCATTTTTTTGAATTCTTGCCCATATATATATATACCAAAAGTGACTGTCATTTATTTTATTACTTTATATAACACATACTTTATAAAATGGTTCTTTGTTTGGCAAAATGGTTATTTTATTTTTTTTCTCTTAGAACAAACCAATGAGGTGGGCAAAAGTTGTTTTCCTACTTTTACAGAAGCCTGGAGAATTGCTTGTTGGTCTGAGTCACATTATATCTTGTTATATGCAGGATACTACTAGGCTAGGAGTGGCCAGTGAGCTATCCATACCCTTCTCTATTTCCTTCCATTTTCAGTATTTCTTTCATTCCAACAGCCCTTTCGGGGCACCAGTTTGAGAGAACTAGCATTCCTTTGCTCAGTTTCTTCTACTCATCCCTATTCCACTTTCCCATCACGTTCCTACCCTTCCTCTATTGGAACAAGCACTAGTACCAAGTGGTAAGGCTAAGTAGCTGTTGGTCCTCAGAACTGCTCTGCTATCTCCTTAATCTGAATATCTTTTTTTTTTCTCTTAATTACTCTAAATCTATCCTATTAAATCTAAGTGGATCACTTGGCTTCCGGTTCTCCCAGCAGGAGTGGCAACATTTTGTGAATGTTTTTCTCTTCTAGGTACTATTAAACAAAAGCTTACTGTTATCATTCCTGCCACCTAATGCTGGGGTGGGGGGAGAGGGGTTGCAAAG